CTGACAAGTTGACATTGTGTATTTTACTATTTTCTGACGTCCGGAAGAGAACACTTCCTACACACCAAGGCAGAGATGTGCTGACAAGTTGACATCCGGAACAGCACATATATGTGAACAGTGAACTTGTGAAAGTTTTTCGGACAGAACAGGCCAGTTGCTATCCAACTGCCCTCAGGCCACCACACCTCATGCTCTCTGCTTTGGTTTGCAAAATTTCCATGTTTTTTTTTTTTTTTCCTCGGGCGGACCCGTAACGGATAATATAGTTGATGAAGTAGTCAACGCTGTCCTCTCGGGCCGCCCAACCATAATGGGGAGAAAGTTCCGAGAAACATTGAGTGAGTAAATGGCGTGATTCCGTTTGACTTGCCGGTGGAATAGGAACTGCTTTGGTGCTCCCCAGAATGGATATGGAGCCAGAACCGAAGGGTTCTGTCTGTTTGTTTGTTTGTTTGCTTGCTTGTTTTTTTTTTTTTTTTTTTTTGTTAAGGTGACCTAGTCAATGTAAGGGGTGCTGTTTCCTGTCAGAGCTCACACAGAGCTCACGTTGAGACTCCGTAGTGGTTGCTGGCAGTACGACCACCCCAGGACAAGAACACCCCAAGCAAAAACGTGAGCCTCCTTTCATTTTGTTGTTTCGTGCATGGTACAAGAAGTCTATGAATTGCATCATTGGGGGAGGGGTCAATTGCACATGTATATGCCCAAAGGCTGTACATTCAAGTGACTTTTTTTTCTGGGGGTCACTCTGCTGAATGCAAAATGAGAAGAGTCGTCGAATAACAGACGGAATGTGCTAACGCGGCGGAACAGCAGCAAGTAGCCACACGTGTCCCATTTTGTGCTTAATGAAACCGGTGAATAGCCATCGATTTTTGTTCGAACATCGATTTTCGTTCGAACATGCAAAAGGCATACGTGAAGTCGAAGCAAGTTTGTAACTTTGTAAGTGTTTTCTCTTCATTCAACTTGATCCGCAATGCTCATGCCGGTTCTGATTTGCTCACCGTAACCTTCATATGTATTGTCATATCTTATTGCAATCTCTCTCTCTCTCTCTCTCTCTCTCTCTCTCTCTCTCTCTCTCTCTCTCTCTCTCTCTCTCTCTC